ACAGTTAACAGACCATGAATCTATATTTCTGTTGTTCTAGTTGATTACAGGGTTATGTAAATAAAGCCATCAAACCGTAAAATTAAGGCAGAATTGGCAGTGGGAAAAACGTAGAAGGAGATGTGCTCAATATGATTACCAGATACAGTCAGTTGAATGGGTTCAACCTGATGGGTTGTTTGGGGCAGATTTCTGCCGTCTAAAGCAAAAACTCGAAGGGGGGCCTGTAGAGGTATGGTCTTGATACCCATCTGTTGCACAAAGGAAGAATCTATTAAATTTTGTTCACAGCCAGAGTCGATGAGTGCTGACAGTGGGAGAGAATTCAGAATCAGAAGAGATGCGGGCAAATGTAGATGAGGAGAAGTGAGAGAAATTTTCTGGTCTGGCCAGTATCCTCACCTCTACCGGTAGACCCTGGCTTTTAGCAGAAGGGGGCAAGTGGAAACAAAATGACCGGCTTCACCACATTATAAACAGAGCTTAGCCTGCATGTTTTCTCCAGAAGGAAGCTAATAAAAACACCTTGATCTGGACCTTCACTCATCATTAGAACATGTTCTAGTTCTGCTTGGTTTACTACGTTAAATTGATAATTTTTCAGTGTTGTGCCATATGCCATGATCATACGTTTTGGACAGTGGGAACCAGTGTCCATATTTCATCCTGATAGGATGACCAGAGAAGAAAATGCAGCTTTGGTAAATAACATTGGGGATTTGACAGCCCCCCCTTTTTCAGCCAAAGCAGTCACAAGCAGTCACATGGAAACAGCGGGGGTGTGAAAACCCCTGTGAGGACGACAAACCACAGAGCACACAGGATTCTGCCTCTCTTTTCCCCTCTTCTGCTCCAGCACCTCCCCCTGGTCCCTTCTGCTCCGCGCCCCAAAGCTGGGGTTTACTGTGGCCCACATGGAGATGCGGGCCCCGGGGGAACCCAGATCCCCAGAACCACAAGGATGAGTCAGAACTCTAAAAACCCTTTAAATGCGAAAACAAACTTTTGCAAACTTTTTCTCTTGAGTTTCGAACTTACAGAGCCAAATTGGATGAGGACCATCCCCGGGGGACCCCTCTGTGAGACTCAGACAAAAAATTTCCCTGACTGCAGGGTTTTCCTTTTTTCCCGTATTCGGCTGGTTTTTTTCCGCCCGGGGGATTCTGCCCTGCGCCTCCACCGCCATTTTTCCCAGCTACACCCGGAGATCAGCCCTTCCCCCCCGGGAGATAATCCACCGGGATCCCGCGGAAATTTTCCCCACATCGATAAAATCCAATCCAATACCATTTTTCTGGTCCCTTCACGCCGCTCTGCCGATATCCCGGTCAAACCCTGACTTCGGGTTCGTTCTACCCGGGCTAAGGCAGCAACCCCCCGCCCCCGGTCAATCAACTCTCCCGTAAACTTTGGACTCCTGAATACCCGCTCTCTCACAAACAAGGGTCACTCACCGGGAATCCATCAATGACCGAAAGCTGGACTTCCTCTCCCTCAGGGAAATTTGGGGGCAACAACCAAAAGACTTCTCCCAGCTAAACCCCCCCTCTCCCCCGGGTTTGTTTCCCATCTTTCCCGGGTTTTCCCCCGGGCCGGGGGGGAGGTCTCGCGTTACTTCATCGCGAGAAGGAAATTTTGCGCCTCTTTCTTTTCCCCTTTTTTTCCGCTCATGGAAGCTTTGCATTTGAACTGCCGGTCCCTCCAATATTTTTTCCATATCACTGTCCCCCAAACCACATATGACTTTTTAAATAATTTTATCCATATATTCCCACCTACTACTCTCTCCCTAATGTCATTCTCCTCGGTGATTTCAATATCCATATGGAAAATGTAAACCCTTTCACTCACCAGAGCTTTTCCTCCTCCTGGACATTCTGGATTTCATCAGTTTTTGTTTTTCCCACCCCATAAAAAAGGACTTTCGCTGGACTTGTTTTTTGCTGCTCGGGTTTAACCCATCAAAACGATCTGCTGTGATTCCATTTTCAGATTACTTATTTTATCCTTCAACTTTTCCCCTGTCTCTCCCATAATAAAAGCCTGTCCGCCAGATTTCCCAATCCCAATCCCTGCCCTTTCCTCCCCACCACCTTGTCACCCACTACAACTCTGGGCTTTCCAATATTTCAATTCCCTTGCCCCTCCCCCCCGGTCTTATCCTTTTCCCGCTCGCCCCTTGGTTTACCCCTTTAGCCCCCGCCTCATGAAACCCAAAGTGGGCAAGGAAAACGCCTCCACAAAAAAACTGGTCCTCCAACAAAAAGAAATGCATAAAACTATTACTTCAATAAAAAAATTTCAATAGCCATTACAAAATCAAATTACTATTTTTGCCCTTTATCTTTCCAATGATGGAAAATTTCCCAAGTCTCTCTTTTCCAAAGCATAAATTTGCCCCCCCCCTGACCCCCTGCCTTCGTACAGTTTTCTACTCAGACCTGAATTCTTTTCAACCTTCTTTAATGAAAAAATCTGCTCCATTCCCCAGCAATTACTATGACCGCCTTGTCCCCCAAAACCCCCCCCCTCCGCCCCCCCCCCTAGCCAGTTTCCATTTCCCCCTTCCCTACTGCCCACTTTTTTAAAAAATTTTTGCCCCTCTTTTCAAAAATCCAAGCCTCTCCCTGTTCTCTTTGCCCCCCCTTCCCACAGCTCTGGTCAAAACCTGTCTTACCTCCCTCCCCCCCCTTCATTACTTCCTTTTTCATTCCTCACTCTCTTCGGTATTGTTCCTTCACTTTTTAAAACGCATCTGCTCCCCGTTCTGAAAAAACCCCGGGTTCTGATCCCACTAACTTTTTAAAAAATTTTGTCCCATTTCTAATTTCCCTTTATCTCTAAAATAATTGAAAAAAATGTGCTCTCAACTCCCCACCTTTCTTACCCTAAAGTCTTTCAGCCTTTCCAGTCTGGTTTTGCCCTCTCATAGGCTGAAACTGCCTAATAAAAATCACAAACAATCTCCTTATAGCTGCTGACTCCCAATCCTCTCCATCCTCATCCCTTTTGATCCAGTGCAGCCTTTTATACAATTTCTCATCCCATTCTCCTCAATAGTTATCCTCTCTTGGCATCTCTCACATCCTTTTTGACTGGTTCCGCTCAATCTCTCCGACCGCACCGTTTATTCAGCTCAAATCTTTTCACTTCGCACCCTTCCCCCGTCACTTCTGGTGTTCCTCAAGGGTCAGTTCTTGGCCCCCCCTTTCATCAAATACCTTCTTCCCCCCTTTGGGGTATTTCCGGAAATTTAACATTCACTTTTAAAGTTACGGATACACCCAGCTTTTTTTTATCCAGTAAACCCACTTCCTCACTCCCCCCCCTTTTCCCTTACTAAATGCCTACTTGAAATTAAAGACTGGTTCCCTCAAACTTTCCCTTAAACTAAACAGTGATAAAACAGAAACCTCCCCGTTGCCACTAAACCACCCTATCAAAAATCAAAAAATTTCTCATACCCCTTTAAACTCCTTTTGTTTCCCCCCTCCCCTCGGTCAAGAGTCGGTGTCTTTTCCCACTCCTCCCTCTCCTTTCAGTCTCACATAAATAAAATTACCAGGGTTTCATACTTCCACCTTCGCAACATTTAAACCGTCTCCGTTCTCCTCCCACTCATACTGCCTCTGTCCTTTATCCACACCTCATCACCTCCCGATTGATTATTGCAAAAATTTTCTTCTTTTTGGCCCCCCCTCTAAATCTCTCCCTAAACTTCAACTTCTTCAGAACCAGCTGCCGTGTCATCCCGGGAAACCCCCCCTTCCATCATATTTCCCCCGTTATTTACCCAAATCCATTGGCTCCCATTCAATTCAGAATTTAATTTAAATCCTTCCTATACTTTCAAAACCTCCATAACCTTGCTCCTCCATATTGTCAGACCCCCCTTTACATTGCCCCCCCTCCTCACGCTCCCTTTGATCCTCCCCTCCATCCACCTCACGTACCCCCAGCCGACTTGTCCCATGGGGGGCAGAGCCTCACCGCTCTGCTCCCCACTCTGGAACTCACTTCCCCCACCTCCGCAGTATTTACTCTCTCCCCTTATTTAAACCAGACTCAAAAAAACCCATCTGTTCCAGCTGCTTATCTGTAATACTGCTCTTTTCCCCATCCTGATTGTTTTTTTTTTTTATGTTCTGTATCTGTATTTTTTTTTTCATCTCTTTTTATTGATTTTTTTTTTATTTTTTGTAAAATAACTTTTGGGTCCCAAAAAAGGCGCTGTTTTTAAAAAAAATAAAAAAAATGTATTTTTAAAAATACTTAGCTAAAGGTTTTTGTTCTTTATTAAAACAAATCATTCAAAAACATTATTTGGGCCCAAAAAATGTTTTATTACCTCATGGATTTGCATTGTGAAATTTGGGGGCTAAAACAACCAAATTTTTTTAAAAATTTGTGAAAAACTAATTTGATCATATCCTAAAAATTTTTCCGATAAACTTTGGTTTTTAAAAAGAATCCTCTTAGACTGTAAAAATGTTTTTCAACCCTTTTCCCTTTCCTTTTTTTACATAGTGGTTTTGTTTAGTTTAGTTTTACTAGTCTTAGTTGAGAGGTTTTAAAATGAAATACGTTTGACTTGGATGAAGATTTTTGTTAAAAAATCTTTTTGAACAGAATTGTGGTGAATTTATTCCATTATTGCAGAAATAACTGCTAGTTGTGCTTGAATCACCTTTTATCTATTTTTTGACACGCAGTTAGTAAGACTGTTTTGTCATAAAAAGAAATTTAAAACTGAAATAATAATTTTTTAAATAGATTTTTACCCCCCCTACGGGAGGGCAATAACACTTAAATTTTTCAAAAAATAAACCCCCGCAGGTGGGAATGGGGAAAGTTATAGAAACACAACATCTGAGACTTAATTAATAAATAAAAGTAGAAAAAATATATATTTTTCTACTTTTATTAATTTTATTTTTTCATTATTTCAGTTTTAACCTGTCTCTCCTGTTGCTTCAACATGTCTTATATTCTTTATTTAGATTGGATATCTGCAGTTTGTCAGAGATCAGCTGTGCTTCTCTGGTCTCAGCTCTGAAGTCCAACCCCTCCCATCTGACAGAACTGGATCTGGGCGAGAACATCAACCTGAAAGATCGTGGAGTGAAGCAGCTCTGCAATTTTCTCCAGTCCCCTCTCTGCAAACTACAGACTTTGAGGTCAGTCACTAGGGGTGTAAATCACACCCATTATGGCAATTCGATTCAGTATTGATTTCCTGACCCAACGATTCGATTATTTTCGATAGTCAAGAATACATCATGATTCAATTCGATTAATTCATTTTTTTAGAAACAACAGCAAATAACAAAAGTAGAAAGGTTGCATTCCACCTATACCTATTTAAACCTCATTCACTGAAAAATAATAATACCTCTGTGTTATAGAGACTGAAAGGCCTTGCAGCAAAAAAATACTGCACAAAATCAGTGCAATGAGTGCAATGCAATACCTCGGCTCCAGAGTGTCAATGTCCCCGCCCCCTCCACAGATGCTCCGCTGCACCTCTCCTGCAGACAGGAGGCCAGCTTGTTTTGTTTTTATGACCGAAACTCCAGAAAACAATCGTGAAGTTTGAACGGCTAGAAGAGTGAGGTGCGCGAAAACGCTGGGACCCTTTTTCCACCTGGATCCCCACTCTTTTTGGCCCTCATGTCCGTTGTCGGACTATACTCGCCCCCACTTACTCGCCGCCTTGGCCGTATCTAGACCCACAGCGCATAGCACAGACCATGCTTCAATATTGAGCATAAATCAAAAATGTCTGTGTTAAGCTTACTGCAACACACTGTTGTAAGAGTATAACCACGAAGTGATGTAGGAGGGCAAAATAGGTTTAGCGCCACGGCAGCACGGGAGGGAGAATTATGTCCAGGAGCAAATGGATAAAAAAGACCGGAGAAAAAAAAAATGAAATGATACTCTTGCGGACGTATCGATGCATCGGATCATCGGCTGTCGGATCGATGCATTGATAAAAAACGATTATTATTCACACCCCTATCAGTGACCATCTTTTAGTTTATTCCTGATATTTCTGATAGTAAAGTTGACATACATATGGCTGATATTCTACTGATCGACACTTAGGATCTTCAGGCTAAGGTCTGATTTCTTCTTCACTGCTTTTATCCAGTTAAAGCTTATTTCTTTTTCAAACTTACTTTCATGATTTATTCAATAACAAGCAGGAAACATGAAACAATTAGTTAAATTTCAATATGGAGTTGCAGCATTATCCAGAACAAATTTTCTCTCTTCTGTAAATTGTTGCACTGCAGGAAAATAGTGTCCTTCCAGTGATTACTAAAGTAATTCTAATTTTCGTTATTATATTATTTAATCCCTCTTTTTAGGGGGGAAATGTTGTTCTTATAGTTTACAAATGCTGTGTATTGGTGATTCACACCAAACGCTACAACCTGTAAAAATTTCACCGGGTTTGTCTCCATATGCTTGCTTTGAAATGTTACCGGCCAGTGAAAGCAGCCTTTGATAGAGTGTTCCATAATATCCTGTTATATGGTTTGGAGAATTGGGTGGGGATCTGAGGATGAGCAGTGCAGTGGTTCACATCCTTTCAAAGTCATTGAACATTTGGTGCCAGTCTGGGAAATTCTTTGTCCTCCACTGCTCCTCTTTTATATGGAGTTCCTCAGGGTTCTGTTTTAGGCTCCCTTCTTTTTACTCTTTATCTGCTCCCACTGGGATCCTTAGGAAACATGGGGTTTCTTGTCACTTTGATGGACATGATACTAAGATCTCCTGCTGAGGCGAAACAAAAACTCTGTTGAATCTCTTCTGAAATGTTTGGGTGATATGAGAGCATGAATGGCTTTAAAATTTTTAAATTTTAATTTAAAAAAAGAAGAAAGTGATGGTTTTTTTTAGGCACTTCAGACAGCCTATCTTTACACCGGGGGTATCTGGATAATTCTGTAAAACCAATGGCCTATGCACAGCCATCTTAACTTTGACAAAGTTAAGCTGTTGGTCAAATCCAGTTTGTCCCTACAAATACTATATGATATTAAATAAGGAGTTTTGTAATTTCCCATCTCCAATGAACGCAACACAGGTACGAGGCTATGACCAAAGAGGAAGTTTATGGAAGCGGCACTCATCCATGTTTTATTTGCTCTCAATGCTGATACCTTTTAGAGTTGTCACAGATGACAGCTGGTATTAAAGAAAGAAGCAAGATAATCATTCTCCTATGGTGGCTGGCAGGGGACAGAAGGAGCAACTATGGAATGGGTAATCAGAGAAGGTATTTAAATCTGTTATGTTTTCATAATTATGTATTTGTTTTGTGTCATTTTCAGCGTACATTACCATGGGATCATAATTTGTTGTGGTTAAACCTCCCACACACTTTTCAATAGGTTTGTGGTGCGCTTTAAAGTTGGAGAAACTCTGCTCTGTCATCATCTTTGTGTCTAGCTCTTGTGCTCCACTCAGCAGGTTGATGTTTTCCCATTATACTTTTTTCCCATGGCTTTCTCAGCACTCAATACATAATAAACTTTTTGTTCTTCCACTTCATGAAAGTTGGTGTTGAAACTTTTTTTTTCTACAAAAAAATACTATATCATATCGAAATAAATATTCCATTATCTTTATGTTTTTTTTTTCTTTTTTGCATGAAGACCCAGATGAAAAGAGTAAAAAGAGCTTCTTGGAATATTTATATTTTTAATTCCTCTTTTTCTGTCTGTCAGGATTTGTGGTTTGTGGACCCTAATGCAGAGGCGGGAGGCAGAGGTGTGTTACTTGTGATTTAATTAACAACTGAGGCAGGAATCCAAAAATAAATCCAATGAGAAAAAAGTTAAACCAACCAGAAAACATGGAGACATCGGGGGGGAAGACTATCATGAGGAGGAAGACTCAGAGAGACGAAGTTGGAGGAAGTTTGAGGAGGAACCAGCACTGAAGAACTGCACAGAGAGAGTGAGGGAGACTGAAACAAAGAGAGGGCTAATAATCAGAAAGGAGCTAGGGTAAAAGGGGAACACAAGAGGGCAACAAATAAAAACCTGAAAATAACTACAAAACACAACAAAACAAGAATTAAACAACTGAATCTAGAAAACATGGAACAGAGTAAAACAGAATACACAAAAGAAAACATAACAGAACCAAGACTGTGACAGTATCAATTGATTTAGGATGTTGGTTAGGATGTGTGAATTACCAGCAATGGCTCTGATGGAACTTTTTTATTGTTGCATTATTTTGTAAAACTTTAATTTCATTTGTGTGTATCTGGATGTGTTCATCATTATCACCCTGCTAAATAAAAAAGTTATAATTTATTATCATTAACATTTAATAAAATCATATGAAATGCAGTTCCAGACTAATCGTGTGTCTGGTGATGTCACAAGTAACGTTATGTTCCAGTTGACACAGATTTGTTCTGCCTGCTCCCGTTCTGCTAGAGTGCAAACCTTTCTATCTTCTAAACAAGAACAAACTTGGTGAGAACAGGGGTTCAAACTTGTGTTCATATATCAGTTTCAGCCCTAAGAGTCAATAAAACATGAAAGAATGCCTCTTCCACACAAAATCCTCTTTCACTGGTCATAGAGCTGTTTCTGTGTTGCATTCAGTGGAGCTTGAAAAAAAATTAAAAACCTTTCTATTATTTAATATTGTAGCATGGCTCATTTAATTTTTCCTAGTAACAAAAAAAAGATCTGGTGCTGGAACCGGGGATGAAGGCCAGGAGATGCTACTGGTTTAGTTGTTAAAGTCCATTTGAATCCCAGCAGAACAACTGAAGGTCCAAATGAAATCTTCTAGCAACATGTGTTGTTTGTTTCCAAGGATCTTAAAGCTGTAAAGATCAGGAAGGCCTCAGGGTCAGATTCCCATTAGATTGGTTTACTACGTTGATCATTTTTCTGGGACTTTAGCTTAAATATTTTTTATACTTTTATTTATTTTTTCATGATTTTACTTTTAGACTGTCTCTCCAGTTGCTTCAACATGTCTTTTACTCTTTAATCAGATTGGATCTCTGCAGTTTGTCAGAGATCAGCTGTCCTTCTCTGGTCTCAGCTCTGAAGTCCAACCCCTCGCATCTGATAGAACTGGACCTGAGCAACAACAAAGACCTGAAAGATCGAGGAGTGAAGCAGCTCTGTGGTTTTCTCCAGTCTCCCCTCTGCAAACTACAGACATTGAGGTCAGTTACCATCTTTTAGTTTAGTGCAGGTAGTTTTGATAGCAAAGTTGTGTTGACTCTATACTGCAGTCATATGGCTGATATTCTACTTATCCACATTGAGGATCTTCAGGCTAAAGCCCTATTTCTTCTTCACTGTTTTGATGCAGTTAAAGGTTATTTTCTCTCATGATTTATTCAATAAGCAGGAAAATGATACAATAAGTTGAATTTCTGTGTGGGGTGGCAGCATTATCCAGAACTTCCCAGAATCCAGTGAATTTAGTGTTGATAATGCAGAAAATTCCCACTCCCAGCAACATTTAATGATGTTGCGTCGACACGAGTAGCAGTGTGGAACGAAGGAAGAATCAAAGAACCTCTCTAAGACTTCAGTGTCAAAAAATGGGGACAGATGGAACCAGAATTAAAGGTGAGACAGTCAGTAGGAAAGCTCAAAATCTTTCATAAAATAACATAAACAAACAGAACAGAAGTGCTCTACTATGGTTCTGCGGTTCACAGCAACTGTAGAAGGGGGGCGGGGCACCACCCAATCTCTGACACTTTGGTTAAAGAGAAACCCTTTCATTATCAGAGTGAGTCACTTACCTGGTCCATCCTCTCAATCAAAGGCAGGATAAGCCGATGCACTGCTGAGATGAGGCTTTGAGCTGTCTAGATCATCCCTGATGCAGCAACCCTAATTAGCATGCAGGACTCCGATCAAGGAGAGGGAATAAGATCAGACTGCAGTAGTTCTGGAATCCAGGGGTCCACAGTATGGTCAGGAGTTCCGATCAACACAGGAACGGACAGATCCGGGTTCCAGGAATCCAACAAAGCATGAGGGCAGGTTCAGAGTCTTGTGCGTCGAGCAACCAGCTCAGACAGAAACGCACCTGGGAGGACAGGTTCAGAGTCCTTTGCGTCGAGCAACCAGCTCAGAAAAAACGCACAGACAGGCAGAATCCAGCAGGAGTCCAAAGAAGGTTAAGGCGAACACATCAGATGGGTTCAGACATAGCCAGTAGGTTAGGGGGAATATAATCAGGAAATCAGAATCACTAGGAAATGCAGAAAAAATCGCTCCACTGTTAAGGTAATTGTCATGAACGGCTATATTTTTATAAAGAATTTTCCTGAGACAAACTCAGCTTTATTCAACAATGTGCACTTAACAACAAGTAGACGTACAGCGTATATGCGTCAGCCTGCTCCCGGCTACGGAAGCCCAACCATGCCATATCACTACAGTAATCAACTTGCCTGAAGACACTGGCTCCTGAATAATCTCTGCAGATTAGTGATAATTGGAGACCAGGTAGTGTTAAGCAGGAGAAAGGCTTGAGCAATTAAGGTGAGCAATCAGGGCAGATCATCAAATTCAGGATAACCTGAGCCACCCTAACTATAAGCTTTATCAAAAAGGAAAGTTTTAAGCCTAGCCTTAAAAGTAGACAGGGGGTCTGCCTCACGGACTAAAACTGGTAGTTGGTTCCACAGGAGAGGAGCCTGATAACTAAAAGATCTGCCTCCCATTCTATTTTTAGAAATTCTAGGAACCACTAGTAAACCTGCAGATTGAGAGCGAAGTGCTCTGTTAGGAACATAAGGAACAATCAGATCTCTGATATAAGATGGAGCTTGGCCATTTAAGGCTTTATATGTGAGAAGGAGGATTTTAAATTCTATTCTTGATTTAACAGGAAGCCAATGAAGAGAAGCCAGGATAGGAGAGATGTGATGTTTCTTTTTAATTTTCACCAGAACTCTGGCTGCAGCATTTTGGATCAGCTGAAGGCTTTTAACTACAGTTTGTGGACTTCCTGATAGTAAAGAATTACAATAGTCCAGCCTTGAAGTAACAAATGCATGGACTAGTTTCTCAGCATCACCCCTGGACAGGAGATTTCTATTTTTTGCAATGTTCCTCAGATGAAAGAAGGAAATTCTAGAAACCTCTTTGATATGGGATTTAAATGACAGGTCCTGATCAAAAATAACACCAAGATTTTTTACTTTATTATCAGAAATCAGTTTAATCCCATCCAAATGAAGTGACTGGCTAATCAGCTTCTTTTTCAGAGACTCTGGTCCAAAGACTATAACTTCTGTTTTGTCTGCATTCAGAAGCAGAAAGTTAAGAGTCATCCAGGTTTTTATGTCTTCAAGACATGCCGGTAATCTATGTAATGGGTTAGCTTCATCTGGATTTATAGACAGATATAGCTGGGTATCATCAGCATAACAGTGAAAATTAATCCCATGCTGTCTAATAACTTTACCAATTGGGAGCATGTATAAAGTAAAGAGAATTGGTCCTAGCACTGATCCCTGTGGTACTCCACAGGTAACCTTTGAGCGTGTTGAAGATCTATCATTAACATCAACAAACTGAATTTGAACAGATAGATAAGATTTAAACCAGTCTAGTGCTGTTCCTTTAATTCCAACAAAATATTCAGTAGTACGCAGAGAACTAGCAACCCCATCAACAAACTTCTCTGTGAGTAACACTTGGCTCGACCAATGGGAGGGGGTATTCTGGATCGTTACATCTATGTTGTCAGGGGACTGGGGTCTGGGAACAAGTCTGGGAACAAGTTTATCGTAAGATTTCTTATATACCGTGCCCTTGTTTTTTAGTCTTACAGTAACACAGGACAAAGTGCGTACCTTTTCCACTAAATACAGGACGGGTACTTCTATTTCTAAATACTGAATGATTACGTTTTTCAAGGGCCGGTTGGCAACCCTACATGGAGGATGAAAATGAACTGGAATTCCTGTCATTAGTTTTCAGGGTGTTATGGCTCAGGGTCCTAAAAACTGGACACCATGCCACAGGGTGCAGAGAGAAAGATTGATTTAGGATCAAGCACATGTTAACAATGACTAAAATGGATGGAAGTGTCAGTATCAGTGTGGTAGAGCAAATGACTGGATGTGTCTGTGTGATCATCAGAGTGATGACAATTTTTCTGATTTCATCATCTAAATGGTTGTTTGTAAAGTGAAGACATTTTTCTGGTCCTGTTGAGCTGTTTTGCTAACAGTTAGCTTTAGGGTTAATGTCAGGGTCAGGACATAGAAAGAGTTAAACTGACTGAAAATCAACAGAAGTCAATTCATGATGATGATGATGCTGAAGACAACGACGATGATGATGATGACGATGATATGATTACGATGATAATGAGGATTACCTTGACTGTGATGATGATGATGGTGAAGATGATGATGATGAAGACGATAATGAAGATGACGATGATGATGATTTTAATTATGATGGTGAAAATGATGATGATGATGATGATGATGATGATGATGATGATGATGATGATGATGATGATGATGATGATGATGATGATGATGATGAAGACGACCATGATGACCAAGATAAAGACGATGACTATGACGATAATGATGATGATGGTGACAATGATGACAATGGTGATCATGAGGAAGATGATGATGCACAACAGCAGAGCAGCTATGCGTCCATCGTGGGCATAGAGAGGGAGAGAAAGAGGCAGGTATTTCTATCCTCTGTTTAGGATCCCCATCACCATAACCTGCAAAGAGGAGGAGCAAACAGGGCAGAAACAACAACACACAACCCAGCTCACAAGGCCTAGGGCTGAACAAAGGGTAGCTGACACAAACTGTGTGCTGAGATCCACCTAGGCATGGGCCACTACTAAGCTCCAATAAAAGCAATAGAAAATAAAAAGAATAACACTGAAATACAGACCAAAACATTGAAGATGAAAAGAGGTACAATCAGTGCAGGTCCATCATCAACAGGATGGTAGCTTTACTTTTATTTCATTTTACACTTTATGTGGTGCAGAGTTAGAAAAAATCCTATTGTCAGTTTTTCCAGTATTGTGCAGCGCTACTGTGGAATAATTGATCATCTAGTTGAATTTATCTGCATCCATCTCTGTTTGTTCATGTTTTCTCTAAAGTTCTCCAGAACTGAGCTGAGTTTGTATTGATGGAGCTTCTGGTGGAGCTGACAGAAATAAATTACTGGAGCAGCAGCATGTTGGTATTAATATAGATGAGAGCTCTTTAACTGGTTCTGTTGGACTGTTCTTACCTGCATCCTGTTGGATCAGCTCACATCCTCTTTTTTTCATTCAGATTGATTGGCTGTGGTTTGTCAGAGATCAGCTGTGCTTCTCTGGTCTCAGCTCTGAAGTCAAACTCCTTCCGTCTGACAGAATTGGACCTCAGGAACAACAACCTGCAGGAGTCAGATGTTCAGCAGCTGCAGGATCTTGTAAAGGGTCCAGACTACAAACTGAAGAATCTGTAAGTAGATGGTTGGAGTGAGTCCAGTTGCTGTCAGCAGGATTGTTCTAAACCCAGTTAGTATCAAAGCAAAGATCCAGTGATTCCTGTAAGACTGCAGCTTCTCAGTGGGAGGAGAATGTGACAGGCTTCCTGATTGACACAGATACACCAATCAGCCAATCAGAGGAGACAGAAGCTGGTTTTATTCCTGTGTTTGTGTTGATGTGAAGAAGACTGTTGTTGGTGTGTTCATGTCTCCAGGGAAAAAAAGCTGTATTACAGCTGCCAGCCTTCCAACATGTCTAAAAAAAGTGGTCCTCATCCATCAAACTGTGGGAGCATTAGATCTGATCTCAGACACTTTGTTCTCTCATTTCAACAGGAAACAACTGATCAGTTTCATCTTAGCCACAGCTCTGAGATCAGTCTGAATGCAGCCTGGAAATCAGTGGCTCTGATTTCACAAACCATCATTCCATTTAGTCACCATGTGTTTTTTTCCACAGAGCAGAAGCTCTGCTAAAGTCCACTCAGCACATCTGGACATGTGTCCTTCTGTCATTAGGCTCATCCAGATGTGTTCAGGGACAGTCTCCATGTTTATTAGTCAGCTGATATTTCAGAGACAGATGAGATGTTTGTCAGCAGCAAGTTTCTGTGTCCAAATGGAGCAGCAGCTAACATGCAGCAGCAGTAAATCCATCACTATAGTGTTTTTTGCAGCAATGAAGCCTTCAGGTCTCTCAGCAGATGGTTTTCACTGTGAACTGGGGAAACAACTGCAGAGAAAATAGACTGGATGCTAAAAATATGTTCAGCTGTGTGAGCTGGGAGCTCAGTGTGTTCATTGCTCTTTATGCTGCATTTGCTGCATCACTGACTGACAGCTGAAGGAGAGAGAGAGGCTGGAAACACTCATTGATCTCCTCTGTTCATCCATCTTCTCTCTGCAGGAAGTGGGGGTCCCGATCTTAGTGGAGGAGAGAAGCTGATTTGTGTCCTGATTATCCTCAGAGGTTGAAGCTGGAGTGGTTTGAGTTTAAAGAGTTTAAAGAGACTCTGACTGGATCCTAAAGATTAACTCTAAGATTTGTTTGTTTTCAGTCCTTCTTTTTCTTTGTTTTCATGATCGCCATAATATCATGTTGATATTTTTTTCTCTACAAATTAAAATTGACGATAAAATTATCTATAACATGTGAAAATATGAATTTAAAAAAGAATCCTTAACAGTTTTAACAAACTTTGTTTTCCCAAATATTTTTATTAAATTTTAACACACAGAAGGATAGTACAGCACAGTATATAAAAAAGTTAAGACATACACCAAATTAAGATTACAACAATATAACAGAAGAATAAAACATATAAATAATAAAAATGAAATGCTTCTCAGTTGATATCAGTATCGCTTATACTTGACATCTCATTACCTCCACCCTCTTTCAAAAAGGATAAGAATGGGTAAGGTTTTTACAAACTTTACTTTTAAATTTGGCAGATACTGTTGTAAACCTCAGAAAGATCTTTCTCTGTGATTTAGTATTCTCACTTAACTTCCTGGATCAGATCTGAAAAGCTACTCTGTTTTTCTGATTCTCAGAGAGCTGCAGCAGTTTCAGATGCTGAGATATTTTTTCTTTGGGTGTTTCCTTTATTTCTCACCATTTATTATGTCTCCATGTTCAGCTGCTGAAACTTAGATCCTGCTGAAAATCTTTCTTGATCCTGCTGATGAACCACCACAGTGGCTCATTGTTAGCAGGTTAGCTAAAGCTGGTGTGGAGCGATCCAGGACCTCAGATGGGCTCAGGAAGCCCTTCCAGTCCGGCTCCAGCAGGGTGGAGGAGGGCTGCTGTCATTAAAGAGGAGCTGCTTGGACTGAAAATAGAGTCCAAGGCTGAATCCCATCATTTGGCCTTAACTCTTCCTCACCAACCCTAAGCGAGTGAGCTGTTGGGGGTCCTGGTTGTTCTGAGGATTTGTAGGGGTGTTACCCATTGGTCCTGGGACAGGGATTCTGTTTAGGAAACTGTTTGGAAGCAAAAAAGTTAGAGCTGAGATTGGAAATGTTTGTTTTCTCACTTCCAATGTTTTAATGACACAATAACCAATTATGGTGTCTAATTCAAAATATTCTGATATCTCATGTTGTTTTCAATTGTTAATTATTTTAATCCAGTTTAAAGACAGCAAAAATAGAATATTTCATCAAATATTTTACACCACTAGTTACTATCCTATTGTCCTGGAGGGTAGCAGCTGATCTGGATCAGTGATCATCTGGACAATTGTCTAGTTTCCATTCTGGTGTGAAGCTCATAAATTGCTCATTATTCTATGTTAAGTGTGAGTTTGTGTGTGAACGGTTGTGTGTCTCTGTGTTGCCATGGACGACCTGTCCAGGATGTATGGATCCTATTAAATGGAAAACCTCAAATAAGAAAATCTCATAAAAATACTGCTTGAACTATTTAAGCTTGTTTTATTGTAACCTGTAATAATGTTCAGCACTTTGCTACAAAATGTTTTGTTCCTCAACAGCCCGAAAAATGCATGTCTAATTAAGAAAACATAGATTAAAGAGCTGAATGGAAATCACTTTCTGAATCAATGAACTTGTCTTTACTGGAACAAAAAAAAAAAATCTTTGGTATAGTTGGAAAACCATTTTTAAAAGGAGAACAACTCTGTATTTTTAGCTCGTTAAGTATATCATGTTGTATTTTCAAACAATTTTTGCTTAGTAGAAGAAGTTCAAAAAAATCAAAGGAATATAAAAACCAACATAATTTTTTTATTAGGGGGTTTAAACCATCTTAGTGCCTTTAAGTTTGCCAGGTGACATAACTAGAGGGAATCGTTATTTCCTCTTCTCTTGCTAAAAATACACTGTAAATACCAGTTGTTTGCGAAGCTAAAGAAACATATATTACAACTTTTTTCATTCTCAACAACACCTTCAGGACATAATCAGTGTTGTGCATGAATAGTGTTCATTGGATGCTTGCCTGTTTTTAGTGAATGGGTCAGTTTTGAAGTAAGGAACGTGAATGAGGGCAACGTTCCTTAATTTGAGAATGATGCGGGATACACAGTTCACAATGGCATTCAATTGATAACAACACTTTTCATTGGATAACGTCAGGTTTTACGGCACTTATTACACCAAACAGCCTGATAGACCAGTGTGTCTACTGCTGTACTAGTCTGCTCCATTCAGAGTCATCTGCTGGTATTTCTGATGCTAGTTTAGCAAAGAGCTTGGCAGAGTTTGATCTACTAACAAAGGAAGACTGGGACAGTAAAAAAAATGCAAACTGTGCCCACTGAACTGGCGACCTGTCCAGAGTGTACCACGCCTCTCGCCCATTGACTGCTGGAAAGAGGCACCAGCACCCCTCGTGACCCCACTCGGGACAAGCGTGTCAGATAATGGATGGATGGACGGATGTGCCCACTGGGACATTACAAACTAGTCCATATGTCAGCTGTTACCCCTCTCAATAAACTCAAGATGCAGGTTTTCTTTTATGGGTTATATTCTTCACAAACCTCCCAAAACCGTGAACACTGAAATACATAATGCACAGCATTAGAATGGCATCAGCTAAAATGCTGACATAAATCAGACCGCTATAGGAATAAAAAAAATTAGAAACAAAACGTACCTCGTTGGCTGCCGCATGAAACAAGAGAAAGTAATGTCCTTTAGATGTCTTTAATCCTTTGCCTGAAGTTGTGTCTAAACGTCCTTATAAAACTTTAACAGAACTTATCTTCTGTGGTCAATTCCGTGACGTGCTAATGTCCTTCTGCAGCTTAGCTGGCCATGTTAGAAAGTTACGTCGCACGCACATACTTGGGATTGCATATCAAAATAAATGTTTACCCTTAACACAGGTAAGTTTTACAAAAAGTAACCAAATAAATCATTATGAAAACATCAAAACCCTTTTACATGAAAAACATTGATAAATAGATGCTTGCAACCGTTATATCAGCGATGTAAACTTCAAATTTAAAGCATCTGAGCCATCCTGGAAAATATCTGCAGCTGATTGATTTTAGTTTAGTTTATTTAAGATCCCCATTAGCTGTAGGAAGCTACAGCTATTCTTCCTGGGGTCCAACAAAAAATATGAAATAAAAAATTACAAATGAAATAAAATTATATGGACATTAAAACAACATCTCCCATAATCTATACATATACATAAATACATACACACCTATACACATACATACTCATACATATATACATATACCTACATACCCATATACATACACAGAAACAATCCAAACTAATCAAAACAAACTACAAAGCACAGCAAGTGAAGAAGACTGTGTACTCCCTCACAGTCCTAATCGTGTTTTTTGAGACCACCTCTATATTTAATAAACGTTCTTTCAATTATCTTTTAAATTTCCTTAAATCAGTTATCAATTTAATGCAATTTGGCAGTAAATTCCATGTTTTCATACCTCTATACATAACAGTTCTTATTAAGGCATTCTTTCCTTCAGTTGCATGTCTAGTCATGTATTCGTGATTCTCCGAACTAGAAGTAAGGTTTGCAAATAAAATATAAGGTGTTTTTAATACAGATACATTTCTAATCATAACAGTCAATGAGTATGAAAGTCTGTCTTTAACCAACAGCCAGTTTAACTTTTTTATGCATTGTTATATTTGTCCTTAAATCACACTTCAATATTATTCGGGCAGCTATATTTTGTACATGTTGTAGTTTATGTAGCATATCTCCAGGGGCATTTGACCAAACGACTGGGCAGTAATCCAGTTGAGAAAATATCAATGATTGGATTATCATTTTAAGAATATTTGGGGACATAAAGGTTGCATGTCTTCTTATGACTGTGATTCCTCTACCCATCTTTGCAATCATGTTATTAATATGTTTTCTCCATAATAACTTGTTATCACTCCCAGAAGCTTGGCCTCATGTACAGTCCGTATCAAGACGTTATTGATATTAATCTTCAATATATGATTACTGTTTACGTTGTGATTTGACCTCACAATCATGCTGTTAGTTTTTGCTGTATTCAATACCAGCTTATTTGCTTTCACCTATTTATCCACTCCCACTAGTTCGTTATTCATAATAATTTCTAATTCATTATTTGTTCTTGCTGATGTATATATAGTGGAATCATCTGCATACATAATTATTTTAGTTCTTTCGAGTATGTATGGTAAGTCATTTGTAAAAATTGAAAATAATAAAGGCTCATTCTACAGCAACAGCACTAATTAGTATGTCTGATGACTGCTTCCCTTTTTATCGAAGCTCTCGTCATGGAGACAGTGGAACATCCTGTGGTCCCAGCTGCTCCACCTGCCTTCAGAACCTGCTGGGATTGTTCATGCACATGGCAGTCTGTCTGACTACAGAGCCATCCAGTGTGACCCTAGGAATATCACTTCTCTGCAGGAAACAGAATCAATCTGTTCTAGTAGTTGTTTGGTTTAAATCTTGAAAGGGGACAAAACTCTCTGAGATGGGGCCTCAGGTCAAGTTGTTGCTCTAGACCATATTAACCAGGAGTCCAGAATAGGACCAGAGTTTATTCATGGAGGAACAGAACAAAATAAGGAAAAACTGAACACTTCATTGTGTGATATATCTAATGAGCCACAAGGCCTTTTTGCAGATTTGGAGCTGCTGTTTGCAGACCCCTGATCCAACAGATTAAAACTAATCCAATCTCAATATAACTGAGGCTAAAAGTGCAATGTCTAGAACTGAAACTAATCCAAGGGAGCAAACAGTTTAAAAGGTTGGTTAGTAGGTTTCTGTATAAGCCAAAAGCATCAGAGAATATAAATTCAGCATTATGGCTTCAGTACAGTGGCCCTGGCCCCCTGTCTAGAGCCGCCCCTGGACAGGTCAGATTTTATCGTCTTTCAGCTTCCAGAAGTTCCTAAAGATGTATTGGAGATTTTAAGATAACTTTTCCATTGTTTAGTGTTAAATAAAGAAGTCAGGTCCCCCTGAAGCCTCAGAACTTCCCTACCGGTTCTTTTCCTGGCTGCAAGTTATTTACTACTCTTAACTCAAACTGGGTAAAACCAAACAAAAAGGATTATAAAACAGGAGCAAAAAGGTAACAGAGTTTATTCCAGGTCAGGTCCTTACAAGACAGAGAAATTGCTTGGAGTTGGCAAAGCTGTGGGCTCAAAAAACATCAGCGAGCGTCCGGCAAAGTTTGAACCCCGAACAAGGTAATCTCCTCCTTCTTACACCTCATGAGTCCATGTGTTGCAACAGGTGGATGCTTAACTGTCCATATCAGAAACTGACACGCCATCCATGCCCTGACCTTTATGCATCTTGCCTCTTTAGAGCAGGATTACACATAGCTCTCCTTTATCAGTCCAGCTCCAAGATGTGCCCATATCCTGTGTGTTTTTAAAGACACGAAGGCTGTCCTGATTAGATGACCTCTGTACACACAGTGACAACCACCATTTCCTTTATGTAGGAGCCACACCTAAAATAAGTGACTCAGCCGTAGAGACTCTGCCAATGCGCACAAAGATGCTTAAAGAACAACCAATCATCTGATTGAATCAAACTTAAAGTATTTCAGCAATGCTGTTCCTCCATATTCTGCTCTTCCTTCAGTTTAGTCACCATTTTAAGGCACAGACATCTAGATACTAATCTAATTGGTGAGTACTGACACTTTCTAGAAAACCGTTTCTATCCCCATTGGTGTAGATTAATGTCAAATATGTACCTCACTGGCTGTTGGGGGACAGGGACAAGGGCGTAGGTTTGATTTGAACTTTGGTAGGGTCACTATTGGTCGGGTGTCATTGGTGCTATGCAATATGCATGCCCTTTTTTATGCTCGATGTGAGCATCCGTACTGATAAGAGGAATTCATTGTTAAAAGAGAAAAGCATAATTTTGCTACATTAATAAAAATTTTATAAGCACTACACTCATTAGATGCTGTTTATCAATGTTTGAAGTATCACCGGCTCTGATGAATGTGGAATTAGGACTGTTTTCCACTTTGAAAATGGTTTCATTTGAACGACTAAGAGAGAAGGTAAATACAGTATTTTCTTTTGAACATATAGAAGTGTGCAGAGTTAAACCCCACTCTTATATTTTTACCTACTATGCTCTCTCTGTATCAAGCAAAATAATACATTCATTAAAATATTAACTTCACTATAAAAGTGGAACATCTGGGCTATAGTTACTCTGTGTAGCCAATTTCATGTATTTTATCTGGGGCTGAAAAAAATGAATTGCATTAATTGATTATTTCAATAATCGTCAACTAAATTAGTAAGTGATTCATCATTAACTGGTGAATGGAGACTATAAAACATAATATAAATTTTAAAATGTGCCTTTTCCTGACAGAGCAACCCACTTAGATCAGTAATTATAACAAAATTGTAAAAATACAATATATATATATATATATATATATATATATATATATATATATATATATATATATATATATATATAGATATATATAATATAAAATTCCAAAAAATGTTATGGTCTGTCAATATTCCCCATCCAGAAGTCCTCATGTGTAAATATTTT